ATGGGATTTAACAGTGGCATTTCTACAGAGTAGCTATTCATCCACTGTAATTCCAATTGGAATTATTTGGGAGTTGATTTTTGCGGAGGGAGGAAAACCGGGGAACCCAGAAAAACCTCAAAGCACAGGAGAGAATCAACAAACAACTCTACTCACATGCGACAAACATGCGAGAACCAACAAACAACTCTACTCACATACTACACAGGAGAGAACCAACAAACAACTCTACTCACATACTACACAGGAGAGAACCAACAGACAACTATACTCACATACTACACAGGAGAGAACCAACAAACAACTCTACTTACATACGACACAGGAGAGAACCAACAAACTCTACTCATATATGACACCAAGCTCAGTGGGACTCGAACCCGGGTCACATTAGTGAGAGGCGAGCGCTCTCACCACTACGCTACCCGTGCTTCCCTTAACATGGGGGAGAATAATACAATAATACACAAGATATGTCTTTTATACCATAAAAAAAGTTTGGAAGAGGTTGGGAATAATATTGAAAATTAGCAGGACTGAAGCTGTCTTCTTTGTTGTTGTTCTTTTGCATGTGTCAGTGCGTAGGTAAACAAACTTAGTACAGATCCAGGGGGAAATTTGTAGGGGTTTCCATTCCCCCCCCCCCCTTCCAATTTTTAATTTGTATCTTAAACAGAATGATTGATTTAAAAAAGTATTTTAAGTATTGAGCTGCATTCCAAACCCGGGGGGTACTCCGCCAGAATTTGGGTAGGGGTGTTCCGCTGGGATTCTGAAAGGGGTACCCAGTGTTTATGACAAAAAAACTTAAATTTGTAGACCCTGTTTATGACAAAAGATATAATTAATTCCATTGAGTTCGTGTTTCAATTATCATGTCGGCTCGCATTTTGGTCAATACGAAAGTAGAAACCCTGAATATGACAGGAAACTCAGGAAGAACTTGGAACTTGAGTGAAATTACATACCCTGTTTATGACAAGAAGCTCGAGAAACCATACCCTGTTCAGCAGATCATCCCCATATAGTCCATACTGGAGGTCCCCCCCCCCCCCCTGGGATTCCAAAGTGCTGCAAGGGGTCTATCCTGACTTCCTTAATCAACTTACAGCTGTATTCATACCTTCAAGAGTATTTTCTTTTTCTTGTTCATCAAGTTCTTTCTCAGTGGGAGGCATCTGTTCTAAATGGACTGTTTCCATGGTGATTCACAGGTGAATGCTATCGCTTCAACCTAAATATATACCATAACATTTAATAAATAAAACAGCTTTTTATGTTCTCTGTTGAGTAATAAAGCATGCAGAAAGTGATGTAAGCACGAAAGAAGTATAAGAAGCTGTGTCACACCATGGCCGTTTCATTATATAGCTCTACTAAAATTATTTTGGCATTGAATTTATTTCAGCAAAAAGAAAGACAGTTGCAGGATCTAGCAGCACTTTGCATGCACAGATGGCATCAGCACCATGCTCCGTTTACTAATAAAGCACAGTTTTTGACCCATCAGAGAGCAAATAACTGTGATCGAATTGGAATTTAGGAGTTGATTTTTGCGGAGGGAGGAAAACTGGAGAACCCGGAAAACCCTTGAAGCACAGGAGAGAACCAACAAATAACTCTACTCATATACGACACCGAACCCGGCAGGACTCGAACTCGGGTCGCATTGGTGAGAGGTGAGCACTCTAACTGCTACACCACCTGTGCTTGCCTGTTAAAATAAATCCAATAAATTCATCAACTGTATAAGGTTTATCTGTCAGATAGAGCTATAAACACTTCGCATAATTGGGCTCAGTAGTAGGACTGTGTTGATTGTGGCATATTTTTTATAATAATAAAACCAATGGAAAATAACAGAAAAACATATATGAAATATGCATATACATTACAATGAAATATCTCTTGAGTTTTTTTTTCACTTATGTCATCATACATTGTCTTTCTGAATGCTGTGTTTTGATGCCGAGAGTTATCCGTTCCCCTAACTTAGATCAGCCGAGAGGTTGTTTCAGGGTTCTATCTGTGAGTTGGCAATGCCCTGACTTAGATCAGCCCAGAGGTTGTTTCAGGGTTCAATCTGTGAGTTAGCCATGCCCTGACGTAGATCAGCCCAGAGGTTGTTACAGGGTTCAATCTGTGAGTTGGCAATGCCCTGACTTAGTTCAACCCAGAGGTCGTTTCAGGGTTCTATCTGTGAGTTAGCTATGCCTTCACTCATTTAGCTTTGCTCTGACTTAGATCAAAACAGAGGCTGTTTCAGGGTATCAATAAATTTTTTAATCAGTTTGTAATGAAGAAATATTTTTTTTGGTAATTTTCAGTCAAAAATATTCATTTCAACACTAGTGCTGTTTGACTGTTATGCCAAKAAATGAGTAAAAATGCAATGTATTTTTAAAAAAAGTCTGAGCTAAAGCCAAAACAACTTACAAAGTAATACATTTTTAAGCAAACTAGAAAGCTGAAAGTAAATAATTATAAGTTTTATATTGTTTCAATGGCTTATAATATTGTCATTCAGAGGTAAACTAGACACAGTACATGCTAGACTTGGTAGATTTCAACCAAGTTTGTCAATTTCCATACTTGAAATCGACTAACGAAGCTTAAAACAACTTCTAACTCATAATAAATCTATCTACAGACTTAAAAAAAACTTAAACTCAGGATATATGGATGCCAATGTATAAAAGTCAAAGATTTTACCATAAAGTATAAGCTTAGTAAGCTTATTTTCTTAGAAACTGAAAATAATTTGGACTAAATACATAGTACATTCAATACATGGAATCCGTTGAAAGTTGATTTGATGATCACAAAACATATTTTTAAGGCTAGGTTGATGAAATAAAATGATAAAAGCGGTTTAAGAAGTAAGGAAGAAGCATTTCCAGGGCGTTTGATCGTGAAACCATGTGCTTTGTAATAATGGCGCGCAAATTACAATTCACAGTCTTTGCATTGTCTTTCAAAGCGACTCAAGACGAAATATTCAGGGAAAAAAGGTGTCTTAAAGGCTCTAAAATTGAATGATTTTAGCTATATTTGAAGCAAAGAGTCTTCGTTTGAGAGAGAACTTAGTTGTAGAGGAACAACGAGTGAGTTTTAGTAGGATTCCTTTGAGTCTGAAACAAGAAATCGTACAAAGAGCCACCATGGATTCTCGTCCGCCATTAGCCTCCAAAAACATAACAAGTAAAACCAAAGAAGAAGGTAAACAAGCCATGAAAAACTATAAACTAGGAATAGAAGTTTGAAATTCGCTAATCTAAACAGTCTAAATGTACCTGGAGATTCTGGGATTGAAATAATCGCAAAGCACGCCGGGTTGGTGTTTTCTGTGGTGAACGCTGGGAAGACAACGAGACGAACAAGAACTGGCAACGTAATACAAGCTGACAAGAGTACGGACCGGGCCATAACCAACACCTATCACGTGACCACCCGCGAGATATCACTCGATGGGTTAGGGACAGGAATAAATTACACTACTGATGTTTTATTCATGTTTTATTGGAAAGAATAAAGACAACGAGACAAACAAGAACTAGCAACGTATAACCATATAACCAACACCTATCACGTGACCACCCGAGGGATATCACTCGATGTGTTACGGGACAGCAATAAATTACAGTTACTAATGTTTTATTCATGTTTTATTGGAAAGAATAAAGACAACTTACACGAACAAGAACAAACAAGGCAAGAGTAGATCGCACCTATCACGTGACCACCCGCGGGATATCACTCGATATGTTGCGGGAATGGAATAAATTAACATTACTGATGCTTTATTCATGTTTTACTGCAAAAAGGATAAAGACAACGAGACGAACAAGAACAAACAAGACAAGATTACGGACCTGGTCATAACCTACACCTATCACGTGACCACCCGTGGGATAACACTCGATGTGTTACGGGACAGGAATAAATCACACTTCTATGTTTTATTCATGTTTTATTGAAAAGAATAAAGACAACGAGACGAACAAGAACAAACAAGGCAAGAGCACGGACCGGGTCATTAACAACACCTATCACGTGACCACCCGCGGAATATCACTCGATATGTTACGGGACAGTAATAAATTACGCTATTAATGTTTTATTCATTTTTTTTTTTTTTGGAAAGAATAAAGACAACGTTAACGGGACGAAAAAGAACCAACAAAAAGACGAGTAGATCGCACCCATCACGTGACCACCCACGAGATAACACTCGAAATGTTACGGGACGGCAATAAATTACACTTTCATGTTTTATTCGTGTTTTATTTTAATCATACGCTCTTGTTAGGTCCCCTGTTTAATCATTATTCATTTTATTTTATTTTATTTTTTCGTTTTCCAACGATATTCTCAAATAACTGGTTGTTTAGTCGGGATATCTACTTGCAACAAGCTGAGATATACAAATCCCCAACCCAGTTTCCATACTGTCCGCATTTACCATGGCAAGTGATTCTGCTGCTTCCAAAGTGAACCGGTTGAATGTAGGTTGGAGTGTGGCTGTACATGTTCAGAGCCCGCATGTGCCCTGACTTCTTAGTGAAGCCTTTTGGACATCCACCGCTGGCCAGAATACAGTAGCTGCCCGCGGGCCACTGTCCTGTTGACAAAAGATTGATAGTTGGTATTAGAAGTGCATGAACTCGCCTGTTCCGTGATATGAAATCTCGTGAATAAAAACGATATCAAGCTTTTATCATGTAATAATATATATGTCTCTCCTTTCGCAATATAATGCGAATAAATAGTGTTTGTTTGTTAAGTTTGTTGGTTCAAAGGCTGCTGTGATAGCCGGAGACTGGTACCTACCTAGAGACGCCTTCACCTTTTCAGTTTCCTGTTTAGCAGTTTGAAGTTCTTGACTCAAGTTTTGTAGGAGTGAAGCCTGGGACTGAAGGTAGTTGGCTAGGGCCGGAAGGCATTGTGGGATCGCCACCTTATTGACACAACTCTGCTGATACACACATAATAAAGAAGACATGTGAAAAACTGCGTGTTATAAACCTGCATCCAAATTATCCAAAACGTCTGCGTGCTATCGCAAATATACGCAAACCTCATGGAATTTCAAACTCGAAAAACCGGTACCCTCGAGATGCATGAGAAACTAGAACGCAACAAGCGACTCTACTCGGACATGTTATAGCATTGGCTATATACGATACAAAAAGACTTTCAAAGAACGAACGAACGAACGAAAGAACGAACGAACGAACAGGCAGGCAGGCAGGCAGGCAGGCAGGCAGGCAGGCAGGCAGGCAGGCAGGCAGGCAG